TACCACCGACTCAGAACAGGCACTGATCACCAAAGGATTCAGTTTAGGAGGAGCTAAAGAGATGCAGTTCTCCGGATGAGGAAATTTCCTCATTAACTCTTGCCTTTCTTCGCTATCGAGTCCGTTATTTAAAATTCCCGACCATATCTCTGAAAGGTCTTTTTGAATTGGAGGACCGAATTTAGAGGACTGAATAACATTCTTTCCAAGAAGAGATATTACCTCCTGATCTAGACTGACGTCACTGTCAGATTCAGAACTATGGTCTGTAAGGATAAATGATGCCTCGCCACTGAGTACATCTTCCTCTAGAATTTTAGAGGTATTGGCGTCGTCTTCGCGCCTATAATTCGAGCTCACAGAGGGAGCGACATAATCTCCCTCTAGATGTTCTCGATCACGTCGCAAAATTTTTGCCAACGACGCCAAAGAGGTCTCATCTTCGGACCCTTCATTTGAAGAAACCTTACGGATGGAAGGTTCACGCAAAACGTCGTGGTGACGGCTGAGACTATCAAACTCAAAATGTTTTTGAGACTTGGCGGCAACATCCTCGTGCCTTTGGCAACATCCTCGTGCCTTTGTCTGACAAGAACAGTTTTGGCAACATCTTCGTGCCTTTGCTTAACAGTTTTGGCAACATCTTCGTGCCTCTGTCTAACAGGAACAGGCTTGGCAACATCTTCGTGCCTTTGCCTAACAGGTTTGGCAACATCTTCGTGCCTGTGTCTAACAGGAACAGGTTTGGCAACATCCTCGTGCCCCTGCTTAGAAGAACTAGCTTCCTCGCCTTGCCGACACAATCGCTTGACAACCTTTCCTCCATTCTCCAAATCTGTCAAAAGTTTCTGTGAAGGAATTAATTTATCAGTCTTCTTACCTTCAGCACGGTCCTCCTCTTCCTCCCTGCACGTCCTCTTACGCTTACCAACATCTTTAGGCATTTTAATGCTTAAACATTCACCATACACGTAAAAAAGCTATAAAATTTAACGCGAATCGTTTGAACGATGCGAATAGTTTGACACGCTGTGAAAGAATGAAATGAAATTGTCACTGGTGACTGGTCAAGCACCGGGACAGGTAAGCAGGGATTTTAAAAATCGATATCTTTAAAAAGCGTGTGATTTGACGTGAAGTGGAAGGTACTACATTATTCTTAATTACGAGACGAGGCGTAATATAATTCCCGTAATTTCCGTATTTTTTCTGGGCATTTTTCAAAATCATTTCCCGAAAGCCTTTGTGATTTCTAATTATTGTAATTCCCGTAACTTTTTCGTAATCCCTGTAATTTTTTATAATTCTCGTAACTTTGATAATTTTCGTAATTTTCAATTCAATTTTCAATTGTCGTAATTTTTTTAAATTTCTTGGACGTTTTTTGAAATTTTATAATTTCCCGGTCTTTATAATTTTTGTAATTGTAATTCCTGATTCTTGTAATTTTTGTTATTTTCTAACTTTTTGAAAATATTCATAGGTTTTTTCGATTTTTGCAATTTGTTAATAAATTTCCGTGATTTATTTCCAGAATTTTCGTAACTTTTGTAACTTTTCTATTTCCATAATTTTTTAAAATTTAATTATTTTCCGTAGTCCCGAAATTTTTCGAATTTCGGCAATTTTTGCAATTCTCGTAATTTTCGTTAATTAACAAATTCCTTAATTTTTGTGTTATTTCCTATATATTTTTTTTTTTCAATTTTTCGTAATTTCCGTAATTTTTGCAATTCCTATAATTATTCTAATTGTCCTAATTTTTTTTATGATTTTCCTAATTTCCGTAATTTTTTATGATTTTCGTGATTTCTGTAATTTTTTTAATTCCCGTAATTTCTTTATTTCATTTTTCAATAATGATAATTCCCGTAAGTTTTTGAAATTTCCGTTATTTTTGAAATTCTCGTGATTTTTATAATTTTTTCGTAAAACGTAATTTCCAATAATTTTTTGTAAATCGTCGTAATTTTTGAAATTCGCGTAATATTTATCAATAATTTTCATTGTTTTCCGTAATACTCTATTTTTTTCTAGTTTTATAATTCTCCTCTCAATTTTTTTAATAATTAATGTAATTTCCATGATTTTTTGTGATTTTTGTTAATATTTTTCCATATTACCTATTTTCCAATAATTTTCGTATTTTACATAATTTTTGAAATTTCCATGTTTTTTTTTCGTAATTTTCATTCTCCTATTTCTCAATAATTGTAATTCCCGTATTTTTTGAAATTTCCGTGATTTTTTGTAATATTCGTTATTTTTCATTTTTATAATTCCTGTAATTTACGTAATTTTATCAATGACTTTTGTAGTTCTACGTAATATTTGAAATTGCCAATAATTTCCAAGGCTTTTGTAATACTCAAATTTTATAATTTCGCTTTTTAGTTTTTAATAATGGTGGTTTCCGTAACTTTTTAAATTTTCCGTAATTTTTGCAATTCTCGTAATTTTTGTTACTTTTCCGTTATACGTTATTTTCCAATGTTTTCGAAATTTTAATAATTTTTGAACTTCCCCTGATTTTTTTCGTTATTTTATAATTCTCCTAATTTTTTTCAAATTTAATTTTCGCAATTTACCCATGATTTTCGCAGTTCTACATAATTTTTGAAATTCCTGTGATTTTTGTAATCCTCGTGATTTTTGTAATTTTTTTTGTAATTTCCGTAATTTGCTAATGATATTTGCAATTTCAGGTAGTTTTTGAATTCCTGTAATTTTTTTAAATAATTTACATTACATAAGTATTTCCATTCCCGGTTTTTTTCGTAATTTTGCAATTCTCATTTTAATTTTTCAATAATTGTAAGTGCTGTATTTTTTTCAAATTTTCATGATATTTGCAATTTTAATGATTTTTGTTATTTTTTTGTAGTTTCCGTATTTTATGTAATTTGTCAATTATTTTTGTAATTTTGCATAATTTTTGAATTTCCAGTATTTTTCAAATTTTTTTATACCCGATTTTTTTGTAATTTTTTAATTTTCCTCTTAGTTTTTTAATAATTAATGTATTTCCCGTGATTTTTCAAAATTCCCGTGATTTTTACAATTTTTCCGATTTTTTTTCATTTTTTTCCCGATCCCTGTATTTTTGAAATTTCTATAATTTTTTAATTTATTTTTATTAATTCTATATTTTCCGTATTCCTGTATTTTCCGTAATTTTTTGAGGAATCTTCGCAAATTCGGTAATTTTTTGATTTTTTCGTAGTTTCTAATATTTTTCAATTTTTGTAATTCTTTAATAAATTATTTTCGTAATTTTTTAATTCTTTCAATTTTTATAATTCTCATAATTTTTTAAATTTAAAAAAAAATTTTTGTAATTTCTGCTAATTTCAATTTTGTAATTTTCGTAAAATTCTCCGAAATTTTTGTAATTCTTATATTTTTTAAATTATTAATTCAAAACTATAGGAATTATATACATAATTCAAAATTTCAAAAAATATTCTGAAATTACGGAAATTATTTGAATATTGCAGAAATTATGAAAAATAACGGAAATTACAAAAAAATAGGGGAATTACAAGAATTATTCCAAAAATGCAGGAATTACTCAAAATTACAGGAATTATTTGTAAATTACGGAAATTTTCTCAATATTACAAATAAATTACAGAATCTACGAAAAATGGAAATTATCAAAAATTACGTAAATAACGAAAAATTACGAGAATTATGGACATTACGAAAAACTATCAAAAATTACAGAAATTATTGCAAAAATTTTAAAATTTTCAAATGAAAAATCACTCCATAAAAAATTATGGAAAACTGACTTATTTAAGCAAAATTAAGGAAAATTCACTTCTTACATTTAAATTTTTTTCTGGAAAACTGGTAGAGGGAAAATTTTGAAAATTTTCCAAGAAAAAGAGGAAAGTGAGGAGCTCATTATAGGAAAATTTCGAAATTTTTCAGTGAGAAATCACTCTAGGGGAAAATTCTGGAAAATGACTTTTTCAAGTAAAATTAAGGAAAATTCATCCTCTCACATTTCAATTGTTTCCTGGAAAATTGGCAAAAGAGAGAAAGAGGAAAGTCAGGAGCTCATTATAAGAAAATTTCAAAATTTTCTAATGGAAAATCGCTCCAGGAAAAATTCTGAAAAAATGATTTTTTCAGGTAAAATTGAGGAAAACTCATCCTCTCACATTTTAATTTATTTCTGGAAAACTAATAAAGCAAAACTTGTGAAATTTTTCCAGAAGAAAGAAGAAAATGAGGAGTTCATTATAGGAAATTTTCAAAATTTTCTAGTGAAAAATCACTCCAAGGAAAGTCGATAGGAAAGTTCTGGAAAATTGACTTTTCTAAACAAAATTCATCCTTTCACATTTATATTTTTTTTTGGAAAACTGCTAAAGGGAAAATTTTGAAAATTTTCAGGATAAAGAGAAAAGTGAAGAGCTCATTATAGGGAAATTTCGAAATTTTCCAGTGAAAAATCACTCCAGGAAAAATTCAAAGAAAATTGACTTATTTAGACAAAATTAAGGAAAAATCATTGAGGTAGAATAATAAGGAGAAAAAAGCGTATCCCACTTCCGCCATATTGTTACGACACTTCTGTTTGAGATTCTGTCACTTTTGTCATGGCAACGCGTTAAAATTGCATCAGGGATGCATTTTCCATCCGAAATTTTTTTAAATGCGAAAAATTTTTGAAGCCTAGAATTCCTATTTTAGGTCTTGGAAGGATCTCCTGATTCAGTATGTTGAAGTTTCTGTAGCTACTTTTTTTTTCTTGGTGTAATCTCGATTTTTTTACGTTTTTTTTTTTGCAGTTTCGCTATGGAGCTCACGGGCCCCTCTCGGGCCCGGGCCTGTGTGCTTCGCACCAGTAGATACACCACTGAATAGGACAGTTTTAGCTCGAAATAGGGCATATTGCATGCTAAAATATTTGTGCTCTAACTTGATAGGTACACCCTTGTAGTCCCTGTATTAGGTATTAATAATTAGGTGTAATTTAAACCCTAAGCTAACAGTAAATAATAACCCAATTTAATCAAACTATAAAAAACAACAAATTAAAATTAGGTGTCAAAATGCGTCGGTCTATTTTTGGCCCGTTCCAAAATCTTGCCGCTGGTCAATTCGCTCATTATATCCAGACCGTGCGACTTGTACGCCTTTTCCACGTTCTTGTAATTGTCGATTTTCTCTTGCACCTTCTTGGAAAAATACTTGAGCAAATCGTCATGATCGAAAATGAGATTTCTGGAATAAATACATAAAAATTATTGTTTTCTTTAACGCAGTGGACGGTACTGGGCACCTTTAAATACTTTTATTAAAATAATAGGAGTTTTTTATAATGATTTTTATGGAGAACTGAAATATTATTACAATTAGGGCCAAATTATGGACCAATTGGTAAGACTGAAAACACAATGACAAAAACAAGATACAAGTGACAAGAGACAAAAATAATAATAAATAGAATCTAAATAATAAAATATTATCTATTATCTAAATAATAAAATATTATTATTAATACCTAGAGTTATCATTGCACAGGTTGACAGTTACCTTTATACGTAGGTATTTTTAGCAAAAATAATTTTCAAAAAGGAAAATAATAGTATATTATATACCTAGAAGTTGGTCATTATATACCGAGCACTTTTAAGGTTTGTAATGCGTAAGGTATATAATGACTTTCTCTACCGAGGAATTTATAAAAAAAAATTTACTACTACTAGTAGAAAATAAAAAATTGGTTTGAAATCTGTGCTCAATTTATTTTTTATGAACGTTTTCTTGAAAGTGCTACCACTCTATCAACAGCTTATGGTAACTTCCTATGTAGGTACCTACAGACAGAAACCTGTCTTTTTTTTTAAATTGATGTATAAAATTGAAATTCAACCAATAAAAACATGACAATATCCTTACGTCATGACGTCATTTTCATTATTGACCTAAGGTCCGTTTCTCGAGGGTTCATATTATTTGTGTTATCGAACACGTCATAACTTGAAAAAAAAAGGATTGTCGTAGATTAAATCATATGACATATTCAATTTTTTTGACAAATTAAAATGAATGACTTCTGGCTCAAGAACCGACGAGCGTTTTTGACGTCATTGATTTGTTTCAGTCAATTTCTATTTGTTAAAAAAGGAAGACAAATTTTGTCAAACGTATATGAACCCTCATGAAACAAAGGAAAAAATAGGTAAATTATTCACCTAAGGAGAGAAATTCGATTTTTTCCTAGAAAAATATATTGAATAATGACTATTTCTCAGGTTAGTAGTAAAAAAAATCCATTATTATTATAATTACCTGAAGTCCTTTTTGCTTATGGAATATATTTCGGTAGTTTCGATGGCATGATAATTGAACTGGTAAGAGTAACTTTGAGGAGTAAAAGCACCGATAAGGCCGATTTCATCACCGTCTTCCAAGTGAACCAGTTCCTCGTCTTCTTCGGTGGTCAGAGCAACAGTTCCGGACGAGATAAAATAGATATGTTCAGCAATATCACCTTCAAATTATTCTTTTCTAAAACTTTATTACTTTACAACCAAGAAGCGTAAAACTAAAACGATGAGATTTCAATTTTTTTGTTTGTTAAGGTTTTGTATCCTTATGGTACTTTGGGATCCCCCAAACTTCATACACTAAATTATTCTCAGATTTGAAGCCGAAATCTATGAATAAAGGCACTCAGAAAAATTGAAAAATTGATAAATTACCCCAGATTGCTTAACACGATTTTATCTCAGGAACTATAAGTGCAAATGAGCTGAAATTTTCAGGGATTGTAGCCCTTTGAAAAGGATAAAATTCAGTGAAAGTTTCAGCTTTCTATCTATAATAGAAAAAAAGTTATGACCTTTCAAAGTTTTCCAAAAAATCATAAGTGGGGTACATACTTTCTTACTAAAACGATGAAATTTTAAATTTTCTTTTGCCGAGATTTTGTATCCTAATGGTCAATCAACATACCCCAAACTCCATACAATAATTTATTCTCAGATTTGAAGCCGAAATCTATGAATAAAGGCACTCAGAAAAATTGAAAAATTGATAAATTACCCCAGATTGCTTAACACGATTTTATCTCAGGAACTATAAGTGCAAATGAGCTGAAATTTTCAGAGATTGTAGTCCTTTGGAAGGGATAAAAATGAAAATTTGTAGACAAGTTGGTCAAAATCCCAGAAAAACTCGTAAGATCTACTCAAAATCACTGAAAATCTTTAAAATCTTTTAGCCTCCTCACTTGAAATAGTCACGAGCCGCCACTGGCTGGCACCTTTTTATTTACTACCTGCCAGGAACCAGATTACCAACACCTGTACAACGGAAACACGAGCTGCAGACTATGCCGAACAGAGACCGAAACAGCCCAACATCAGAATGCGAAGACAAAATATATTTGGGAAAGATGAACTAGATACAGACACATATGGCAAAAATTCAACAGACCTACTTCACTCACTGCAGGAAACCAGGGTTTTGGAATGGCTGCAGTAAACAGGAAGATTCAGCACAATAAGCCACCGGCTGCAACGCTACTCAAAGTTTAATCAGACGACTTCCCAACCAAGAAAAAAAAAGAGATAAGAATCGTTGTAAATTTCAGCTCTTGAGTAGAGATTAATTTCTTACCAGCTTTAGCAATAACATCGGTCGGCAAATAAACAATCTGCCTCGTATTACTGATAATGGCTCCCACCACGCTTCTAGGCAACGCCTTGAACAACTCCACCTTAGCGATCAGCTTCCTGGCTCCGTACAGCATCAGCTCTTGCCTCAAATACGAAGAAAGAGTAGAAAAGATGGCTTGCTCGTTGAAAAAATGATTCTGATACTTGTACCGGTAATACTCCAACAATCTACTACGCAAAACTTGCGGCAAGCGTTTCTGTCTCATAAAAACCTCCAATTGCAACAAATACTCTTCGTATTTACTTTCGGAAATAGTAACCACACTGAAGATTTTCAATACGCAAGCGATCACGTACAAAGTCCACATCCTGCCGCTGATCATCACGATGACAAGCATGAATTTTTGTAGGCGATCCTCCAAAACAGTGCCGTGCAAGCCTTCTCCGGCGCCGAAGAAGTGAACCACGATGCACTCCAACGATTCCATGTAGGCTTTGGATTTGGCCACTCCACTCTCGGGGGCGATGTTCGCTCTCACCGCCCAAGAATGTTCGGGAAAATCTTCGTCGCCACATAGCCACGGGATGTAATAGTAGAAGCACGTGTAACTGTTGAGGATTATCAAAGTGATCATAAAGAGGCGCAAGCAATCGTGGACTTCTTCGCGCATTTTGAAATTGAGGACCATTTCTTTTAGATAAGTTAGTACGGTACCAGCTCTGAAATAGGTGTTGATTATACAGGATGTTATTCGTAGGAATAAGGAGAACTCCCGAGCAAAACATATGCTCAATGGGCTCTCCATATTTCTGCGACTAGACTCTTTTTGGATAATATGATCTCTACATACCGTAACATGCAAATCATGTTCACAAGGTACAAGTTGCGAGTGATCTCGGTGTAAATGCCGAATTTCAAATTCATCAACAAATCGATACTGTAGTAGGTGGTCAGGTAGTTTTTCCAAATTTTCGTAGGTTCGATCACAATTTCTTTGGTACCTTTGTTCACGTAGCCGGTTACAAAGAACATGATCGTGAGGACGCCTTCCAAAGGCGACAAGAAGTTTTTGTAGATAGTGAAAAATTTGTCTTGCTCGTAGGCGGTATCTTTGTGGGTTCTTCTGTAGTAGATCTAAGACAGAGAAATCAACTTCATTGATAATATAATAGAACTTATTGATAGGCACGGTATGATAAGTTCGTTTCATGCGAGTTGCTATGTAACGAAAACATGCAACGCTAAACATCCCCTCTACTTACAATAAGTCAAGTTATCGATAAGTAGTGAGTGGATGCGCGCGATTGCCTCTAGAAACATTTTCATTCAAGAACCAGTAATAATGAAAACCTATTCACGGCTCTTGAATTCTTCTAGAAAAATATTTAAAAACCAATAACGATACTCAAAGCCAGTAATGATCAAAATTTATTCCTGGCTCATACTATAACTTCTCCTTTCCTCTAAAAAATATTTCTAGTGATCCCTGTAGAAAATGGTTTAAAATTTTCAGAGTGTTCCATTTAAACAGAAATGCAACTAGAAGGTAAAGAACTAGGTGCAAGCCTAGGGCGCCAGAGTACCGAGGCGCCTTCTCGCCGCAAAATATTGGTCACTCTGTATCTTTATACAGTAGTACAATTATTTTGGATTATTACTGACTTTCATACAAGATATCCTACAAGAGCCGGGAATAATAAAATATTAATCACTCTGTATTTTTATACAGTGGCTTATTTGTGTTGAGTCAAATTACAGTGGTTAAAATTGTTCTGCTATTACCAGGCTCTCGTCAAAGGTTTTCTACATTGAGACCCAGGAGTAGTAATAAGTAATATATTGATCACCCTGTATCTTTACACAATGGTGGAATTATTTTCGATTACCAGTTTTCGTGAAAGATTTCCTACAAGAGCCAGGAATAATAAAATATAGATCACTCTGTATTTTCAAGCGTTTTGATTGGTACAACAACCAGTTTTCAACCAATGAAATATTCGCTTAGATAGGTTTGTGATTTTCAAAATTCTTACCGTTTCCACGTGAACAAAACTCATATAAAACGGCGAAACGATCATTTCGATGGTCCACAAAAGGCAAAATACAGCTTCTCGTATCCTGTTGAAGGTGCTGAAAGGATGTATGATAAAAGAGGGACCGCGCAAATGCCTGCGTTGCTCCGCTATCATCGTTGAGCGGTTCCTGAAGAACCTCTTGGAGCTGGTGGAGTTCGGATTCAACGTGAGACATTTTCGAACCCTCCGAGTGAAACGTCGGTGGCAGGAAGCGTTCGGAGGCAGTTTGGGCAAACCGAAAGTGTCTTGTTTCAAGTCGCAGGTGTGAACATTTGGTTTGGACATGATTATAAAAATTAATTCAAATCTATGAAAGAATCAGTTTCTTTAGCAACGAAAATAATAAATTATTTATGACAAATCGCAAGCGATTTCGGTTTAATGATTGTCCATTAATTCAACCTCGAATCAAATAAAAAACTGTTTTGGTATTCAGGCAGGCATAAGGCGTGAATCAAAAAGGGGACGCTCGAAGTGGTCCTTAGGGACACCCTGAGCGTCGATGTTATAATTCAAAGACAATGGAGTAGAGGAGGGATTATCGATACGATATATCGATGTATGCTGATGCATATCGATACGATTTTTTTCTATATCGATAATCATTTGTTTCAAAATGATTCTGAACATTCCATGTTTTTTATATTGAAGGCTCTTCAATTTGAATATCGTATCGATACCTGAGAATATCGATAAACCCTTCGCTACAATGAAGGGGGTCCTTTAAAATTCCTATATACTGACTGTGCGTTTGGTATTTTGATCTTAAGTTCTTCGAGCATTTTATTTGTTTGTTTACCGAACGCAAGGCAAAAGTAAAAAGTAATGTATCTGTTGGCGCCATCTATCAACCTAAACCTCATTCATTGTCCCAAATCCATACGAAAATAAAACAAATTCTTGACAGAATAACGAATCCATTTTATTAGTTAGCCAAATACTTTTTGCCATACAACTGAGCCTTTTTCTCAAACGCAACACTTTTAATAGGACTATTTTCCTCGTAAAAAGGATTCATGGAATGTTTGATGTAGGCTTCGTAGATTTCGTTGAAGAAATTCTTGATTCCGTCATCGTTGCGGTTATCGTGAACGATGACGAAACGTATGAGACTAGCAGTGACGAAAGCTGAAACGAACCACTGATTGAATTTGTCCACAGATTTGAGGTACATGTTTTGGGTTTTCCATTTGTGCTCGTCGATTAGGTCTAGGGCGGAATGGGCTATGAATTGGTTCAAATGACGGTGGTCTTCTTTCTGGAAATAAGGCCAAAATAAAAAATAGATTTTTTAAACAGTATTTACCTTGGGTTCTTTGGAATTGGTGAATTCCATTTCGAAAAGGGGCTTGTCTTTGTGGCCTACAATCACGAAATAATACGTGCCAATCATTTTTATTATTGAATTTTAAAAAATTGCCATTTTAAATATTTTGATTTTTATAACAACAATCAACAGCTGATACTGATAGTTTTACAGTGTTGCCGCTCGTGCTACCAACTAAGCTACCAAGGTTTCATAGGGAGCATCCAGCTAACGTACAAAGTTTTTTTTATGAATAACTACTGCTTACAGATTTCATTATTTAAATAAGAAAATAAACAAATTTCCTATTCTTGCACGTGCATAATGCTTTAAATAATTTTTCCAATAAATTAATTGGCTTTTCTGCTAATGCCATCTAACATCTAACGCTGAAACTAAAAAGTTTGAAATGTATTTTTCACATTCAAATGTATCAAGGCAAAGCAATAGATGCGTTAAAGCGAGGCCTACTAAAATATGTGACGATATCCTACTAGTCTTAGTTTTAATGAAAATGAAAGTCGAGGTTCAATAGAGAGATTTATTTTTTATTCTTCGGCCACTGTAACAACACTTTCCAAGTCCACCCTGGGCACATGGTCTTCGTGAGTGGTGGGCTTAAGGACTTTCATATCGTCAGCTTCGTTTTTGATTTTGAAAGAGTCTTTAGTTTTTTTGTTTACACCTATAGGAAACATAAACATACAAAAAAATAACTATTATCATATTAGGTATTTACCTTCCAAATAAGTTCGCCGTTCTACGCTGGATTGAGCCAAAGCGGTTTCTTCGGCTTTGGTTAACACTTGAAACCGTGGATCCATGATTATCCAATCGGATTGCACCAATCTGTCCATGTTCCATCTTTTGGTGATGTCTGGCTCCAATAAATGAGTCACCAATTGCTTCACCTTGAATAATATTAGCTACGTCATTACAAAAGTAGAATTAATACAAATTTTGACATGCTCTGAGCCTCAAATTTCATAAAATCTTGATAGGTGCAAACCACACTTTGATATATTTTGTTCGTATTTTCAATAAGTTGAAGGCATTGTTTTGATATTGTCCATGATCATTATTTTAATGATTATTGAAATTAATTAGAGAAAAGTGGTGAAAATAATAAGTTAACAAAAACACTACTTTTCAAAAAAGCCTACTGGTTTTATCGTTCAATCCTCTCACTAGATGGCGCCACGTGTCAAACAATACTTGATCTAAGTATAGTGTAATTTCCTTCTAAAATTGTTTTCGATTTTTTATTATTTTATCTATTTTAGTTCAAAAACTCAATTAATTAATTTATTTCAGTTTTAGTGCAAAAAAATGTTCAATTACTGTGATGAAAATAATCTAGCGCCACCTGTGACAAAAACTAGAAGCTAGTTTGTGCGAGTCGGCCATTTTTGAACAAGCTCCCTGTAAAAGGGTCTCGGTTTTCCACTCGATTTTCCGGGAAAAAAATCGATTTTAATGCGTGAAAACTGCGAAAATCGTTAAAATAAGAACTAGGCTTCAATTTTATATAGTTAGTAGCCGCGTGAACGCTCTAATCACTCTAAAATTTGCATTTGAAAGTTTTCGGTTTTCTTGACATCGTGGAGGCATCGGCCATGGTACAAACAAGTGGTTCCTGTGGAAAACATGTCGATTTTCCAAGAGAAATTCGGTTTTAGTGTGTGTGAAAAGTGTTTCAATAGTAAAAGTGCAAGTTTAGCTTCAATTTGATCCTGATTGGCTACGGGGTAAGTGATTTAAGTTATTTTTAAACTTTTATTCAATTAGCGTCCGCTTTCTTGCCGACATGGCGGCTTATGTAAGCCTCCATTTTGCAGTGTAACAACTGAAAAATATTGTTATTTTTTCTGCAGCCGTGCGGAAATAGCTATTTATACAATAAGTTACGAAATGAGAGTTTCTTAAGCACGCGACGTGAAAATTGTCCAACGAGGCAAAGCCGAGTTGGACAACACATCAAGTGACTAAAATACATCGTTTCGTAACGTATATTGCATACAAGATTTTTTCTACTGGCATTTTATAATAAAAAAACACAATTTTATTTCATGTGAAAGTCGATTACTCCCAAAATCTTTGTTACCTGCTTTTGCTTGACACCTGACACTTTTTATGCGATTTTTTTTTCAAGATTCGATATCAATAATCTGTGTTTAGTGTGTTTTTTATTTCTAAATAATGAATGACACTTTTAGGCACTAATGCTTAAAGATTACTTTTACGCACTCAAAAATCACTTTTACGCATTCAAAAGTCACTTTTACGCAGTGAGTGCTTAAAAGTAACTTTTACGCTCTCTGGGGCGAGTTCAGGAATGACACACCTAGTGTGAGTGTGACACCGGTGCGACGCCCTAGCTGTTCAAAAATGCTAGACGGTGCTATGGGCCCAATGGCCAATTGTCAATTCAGGCACACCCATAAAATCGCACTCGCACCCTGTGCGATATTTCTAAACTCGGCCCAGTGCTTAAAAGAATGTCGTTTTAAAACTAAAATGACAATCGAAAAGTTGCTATTATGAAACGTCAGTAGAAAAAAATCTATTTTCCGTACCGATATTCGTGCAGAAAATTAGTTTTATAATGCGTGCTGGTACATGACTCAAAATGCGTGCAGAAAAAACTCTTAGATATGAGCCAAAAAAAGAACTCAGGGATTATTCCAGATTCCAGGCTCGAAATATAAGGGACATTTTTGATAGAAATTACTGATGATCAGTTTTTAGAAAAGAAACGATGATCATTTATACGAAAACTGCATATTGTTTTATAGTAGATTTCCTAACTAGTGCAGAAAGTACCACTTTTTTGCACGCGATTGCTGCGCGTCGTTCGGCAATCACTTTTTCGCACCTGTACCTGTAGTATACCTGTATACCTGTAAGTATACCTGTATACCTAAAAATTTCAGGTATTCTACTATGTATTTCTTTTCCGCACTCAGTGCGGAAAAGTCTAAATGGGCTGACATTTTCAGGGATTGTAGTCCTCTTCTCAGGGGCGGATTAAGCCTTTTTACGCCCTCGTGCAATTAAAATTATTTCGCCCCCTCCCAGGCTCTGGCTTATATCATAATTTTTTATTTTGTCATGTGATGATTCTTCAATACAAAAAAGAAAAATACTTTAACCCTTTTCACGTGGCTCCGGTTTAACAAACCGCAACATACCGCTCAAATTCGAGTGGTAGGTATCCAACACGTCATTTTGTAACCGGGTTAGAAAACGGTATGTCATTTCTCTAACCGTTTTGTAACCCGATTAGTTAAACCGGAGCCACGTGAAAAGAACTTTAGTATATTGAATTAAAAATGGCATGAAACAAGTTGATTAGTGCCAACTCTCAAGTCACTTGTCTTTTCGAAGTTCTCCCAAATTTAAGGTGCCATCGTGACCACTAGAAATCAGAAAATATTTATAGTGAAGACATTCCTGAGGAAAATAATCGATCAGATCGTTTTTATATGTTTCCTTGAGTCGCTGCGCAAAGGGGTGGGGGTGATTTCTGAGCTAATTAGCCCCTGATGATGAGATTCTAATAATCTCAAAACATGTTGGACTCTTATAAATTTTAATTTGATTAAAGTATTTGTGCAGGAAGACTTGGAGTTTTTCTTTTGGAATTAAATTTTCACCTCCATTTTGAGAAATTGACTAGGTACTTCTTCAATTTATAATTTTTTAGTATTCCTGGATATTTCCAAATTATTCCCAGTATTTTCCAAGTAGTTCTAAGTATTTCTCAATTGTTTCAAAGTATTCCCATGTATTCCTAGTTATTTCCATCCTATTCCCAAAGTATTCCTAAGTATTTTTATTATGTATCCAATGTTGTTTTTATTGAAATAATTTCCTATGTATAACTAGAGGGGGTGTGACCCAAAAATTACGGTTTTAATGCTAAAAAATCTTACAACAAATATTTAAACCGCATCTTGCTACGATCAACTGTTTTCGAGTTAGGGCGGTTTAAAATGACGAACGCCTAGGCTGTAACGTCACACCGGCTTCGGCGGCACAGTTAAAATACGCGTAACATTTTCCAAAATAAAAGTCAACGATCCCACTTAGACGCAAAGCGAATTGCAACCACTTAAAATATTGGACACGGTTCACTGACGACTGAACAAACAGAAGGCTGCAATTTCGGCGGTTAGCCGATGTGACGTCACAAGTTCACACAAAACTTTTCTTCATAAGGAGAATTTTGAATATAGGACTGCGGTTTTCACAAGAGATTTTAGATTTTTTTTCTTGATTTAGGTAGCCTAAATTTTGTTTTTTTGGGTTATTTTTGCTACAGCATGTGATATAGGCGTTTGAGAAATAGCACTTAAGTCAGAAAATAGTACTTGAAACGTTTGCTAGTGTACATTTGAAAACCTTTTAATCGAGCTTTTAATATCACTTTTAATCAACAAGGAAATATTTGCCCTGAAGTCATCTGTATCACTCGAGGTATCACCACACCTTTTCCATAAGTATTCCAGATTGTCTCAGTTGTATTTCAGATTGATCAATTCTAGTTCAGAATGCGTCAATTGTATTCCATAGTTGTTTAAGTTTAGCTTCAGAAAGTGTTATTTATATATTCCAACTTTGTCTGTTGTAGTTCAGAGAAGGTAATTCGTGTTTCAGTTTGATCAATAGGTACTTCAAAAAACGTCAGTTTTGTTTGAGATTAATTATTTGAACAACCTAGCTTGCGTATTGATTTGGGAAAATCTGCGTAGATATCTGCGCTCGGCGCTCAAATTTCCATTCGCGTCATATTACATAGTATGTATTTCTTATGTACTAATAAAATAAATATCTATTATTATCTGAAATACAACTAATGATTTCTGAACTACATCTGATAAATTCTAAAATTTAATTCACATTTTCTGAAAGGCAATCAACTAATCTGAAATACAATTGACGCTTTCCGAAATACAATTTACTGTGTTAGGTCTAGATTACCTAACTCCTGAGCCTACTCGTTGATTCTCAATACTTTATACCTTATCCTTGATTCATAAGAAGTTAACAACGTCTTTTTGAATGAGGGCGTTCATCCAAATGGTTATTTCCTAATTGAATTTTTGAGAACCACCTTGAAAAGTTCCCAACTTTTACCTTTTATAAATTAGGGAATACAAACAAATACAAAAATGATCAGCAGTTTTACAGATAAAACGCCAATCTCTAGAACTTAGAGCAGGTAAAAGCGCTGTCCTACGGACATAAGGAGTAGGAACGCGCCATTCTGCTTATGAAACTGAAGTCAAAGTTTAAGTGAAGCCAAATTTTTGGCAGGTGTTTGGCACTAGAATACAGGTAAAGCTTTGAATTGCCTATACCGCCATTTTTTTGGTGCCAACCAAAATACCTGGAAAAAAACGGCTTCATTTTCCAATTGACGTGTCTCGTAATACCTGGTGTGCGCGCGCAACTTGTGGGTTGCAGGTGAGCGTCCAATGAAAATCGAGTTTGTTACGGGCTTGCGTCAGAGAGCAAACATACTTTACGTATTACTTGAACTTATCGCAGTGTCGTTTAAGGTTATGTTAGATTATACTTGACATATTCCTTCGCAATTTCATTGTGCGATGTTGCCGAATGAAACATTTATCAAAATAAAAGTACCATCGATGTTAAAATACACTTTTTTGCTCTTCTTTTGTCTGATTTGAGGTGTCGTAAAACACTTGAGAATATATCACTTCTTGAATGTTATGATGTTCGATTTGTATTGTTTACATTTGTTCTGCAACAATACAATCTGGCTACACTGCAGCCACGAGTTGCGCGCGCATGTCATTTTTTATTACTTTCTAACTTGTATTTATTTCAATGAAGCTCTCTTTTTCTATTTCTGCGAGACACGTCAATTCGACGTTACTACTCCTCTTTACCTTTACCTGCTCTAAGCTCTGGAATCACTAAACCGAGCACTAGATACAACAATAGTTTTTCATTTATTACCTTCTACCTCGCCTTTTACCAGACTACTACAAATTTGGAATTTGAAGACTAGGGCTCGAATTAGGGCCTAGGGGCCTCAAAAAAAAAGCGTCAGACGACTGGCATACAAGTCATACGACGATTCTGATTGGTTTAATATTGACACATGCGCATCAACGTATGTATTCCCAACTGTATTCCCATGTATTTCTAGCTGTATTCCTTTGTATTCACACTTTTTCCCCTGTATTCCTAAGTATTTCTAAATAATATAAATGTATTCCTATGTATTCCCAACTGGTCATAAGTATACCCATTGTATTCCCATGTTATTCCCTCAAAAATGTCCAGCGATTCCCAGATGTGGTTGACCCCTCGCTTAATACTTAAAATATCAGTCAAGTATATTTTACTAGAAAGCTTGTGAAAATTTGAACTTAAGTGTTATTAAATTATTTAAGTACTAGTAAAATTACTTAAAGTACATACTTAAATATTCGGGGATTGTGATTCTAGTCCTCCACTGGGATAAGAATCTCTGGAAATTTTAGCTTTCTATCTACGATAGGAAAAAAGTTTTCGAAAATCTAAATCATAAGGTAGCTACTTCAGTAATAAAACGATAAAATTTCACTTTTTTTGTTGTTGAGATTTTGTCTCCTTAGGGTCCATTGGGATCCGCCAAACTTGAAATTTTCAAAATGGTGACACCTCTACGAGTTTAACAGATGACACCCTGTATATTGTCAACTACTTAAGTAAATACCATTGTGTACAGGGTGGCCCAAATTCGAGCCTCATCATTGGGATCTCGGAAACGGTAAGAGATACAGGGTCGGTTAAATTATGACAAAGTTGCGCAATTTATGACTAATAGAATGCCGTTTTGAAATTAGAAAGATTCCGAATACTTCCGGAGATATTCGGAAAAAACCGAAATTTTGTAAAATCGTTTTTATTTTTTCCGGGCTTATTTGAAGAGCAATTTTAAAATAAAGGTCACTTCATCATTGGCACTTTTCTCCCTTTATAAGATGGTGGGTGCTACTAAATTCAAAATCCGACGTTTCGTCTTCAGGCGGCCATCTTCAACTTACTTTTTTTAAATACGGACCTGGATTTTTTATTTGCGATTTTGTCATTTTTGGGCGTCCTAAAACTGATAATGTTTATAATTTTTCAATAACGCATTAAAAAAAGCAGGTCCGTATTTAAAAAAAAATAATTGACGTGTCTCGCAGGAATAGAAAAAGAGACCTTAATTGTAAAAAATACAAGTTAGAAAGTAATAAAAAAAGACATGCGCGCGCAACTCGTGGCTGCAGTGTAGCCAGATTGTATTGTTGCAGGACAAATGTAGACATTGCAAATCGAACATTATAACATTAAAGAAGTGATATATTGTCAAGTGTTTTACAACGCCTTAAATCAGACAAAAAAAGAGCTTTAAAGTGAATTTTAACATCGATGGTACTTCCATTTTGATAAATGTTTCATCCGGCAACATCGCACGATAAAATTGCAAAGGAATGTGTCAAGAATAATCTAACATAACCTTAAACGACACTGCGATAAGTTCGAGTAATACGTAAAGTATTAGTTTGCTCTTTGTCGAATTACTCGTTACAAAGAAAGAAGGAACGTTAATTCTGAACTCGTTCCTGAATACGAATATGACGCAAGCCCGTGAGAAACTCAATTTTCATTGGACGCTCAGCTGCAACCCACGAGTTGCGCGCGCACACCAGGCATTACGAGACACGTCAATTGACTATGATTCCAGAGGCACGAAACGTTAGATTTTAAATTTAATACGCCATTTTGTAGAGAAGAAAAAGTGACAATGGGAATGTGAAATTAGTTTATCAAAATATTTTTAGCCCTCTCTGTAGCTAAGTCTTCTCCCAGTGCAAACTACCTTTAATGGGAAACGCCCTTCTGGACCTGTCTCACACCCAGCTTCAGTCTTCAGTCACGCAATACAGAGTGGCTTATAAGTAGTACGCCCCTCCGTAGAAGAGACGTCATGATACTATTTTTATAGGGTAATATTATTATTATTCAATACATTATCTTATTATACAAGACAAAAAATAAGATGTTTTTTTCAATTATTTTCGTAGTTGTCTACCTTCATTTTACCCAGTTTTACTTTTACAGGTTCAACTTTGACGTTTGACAAATCATCAAAAAAATAACACCACTAGTTGTGTTATGAATTCATAACCTAATCCATACCACCACTAGTTGTGTTATGAGTCTCACGACATAAGTAAAATACCAGAAAAATAGTTATGTGAAATAGTTATTTACATTACAAGTGCGTTTATTAACATGATTACAATAACGAGTGTGAAAGATTAGAACGACGAGGTTGTAGACCGAGTCGTTCTAATCACACGAGTTTTGTAGTCATGTTTAAACGCATGTGTGATGTACAACTTTTTATCTACAAAGCGAAAAATAAGAATTTTTTTTCAATCATTTTCGTTTATTAGTCGTTGTATACCTTCATTTTACCTTTACAGGTTTACCTTTGACATTTGTCAAATAGCTAAAAATAGTTGTGTTATGAATTCATAACCTTGTCCATAACACCACTAGTTGTGTTATGAATTCATAACCTAGTCCATGACATAACTCAAATACTGGAAAAGTAGTTATGTAAAAACGTCATAACCAAACGCTTATAGATAAACGTTTTAACCAAACGCTTGTAGATAAAAAAATTACATATTGCGGTCCCATACTTACAGTTCTTACCTGTTCGGATAAATTATCAACTACCTTCGATCGAAACTTCCACCGCTTACTAACTTGTTGTTCATGTAACCGTTTCACATTAGTATCATCAAATGGCATAGCTTTATTGATACAAACATAAATAATGACCCCACAAGACCACACATCAGCCATTTTAGGGTAGTACGGCAACCCCCTGAGTACTTCTGGAGCTGCATAAGACAACGACCCACAATAAGTACTACTCAGCACCTGTTTCCCATTATTGTCCATCACGAACCGCGCGAAACCAAAATCAGCCAGCTTCAAATTATAGTTGGACGTTATCAGGCAATTTTCGCATTTTAAATCCCGATGGGCGATGTCCATGCTGTGCAAATATTGCACGCCCAAGGCCAGTTGCCTGATCCAGACTCTGGCTTGGGCTTCGGAAACGGGACCTCGTTTCAGGACATACTCCAGCAAGTCGCCTTTTTCGGCGTTGCGCATAAACACGAAATATTTCGTTTTGCGTTGGAAAATGCTGTGGATGTGGATTATGTGCGGGTGGTTGAGGCGGACTAAAATGTCTAGTTCTCTTGGTAGGAATTTTTTTACAAAGTCTTTTGGGGCTTTGGAGACGTCGACTACTTTACAGGCCAAATAGCGGTTTTGTCTTTCGTCAGTTACTGAGAAAAATTCAGCTAAATACACGTTGGCGTACGAACCTGTAAAATGTTTATGAATTTTTGTGGTAATTTAAAGCTTTTCAATACCTTCCCCTAACTTTTTTATTAGGCGATAACCTCTCGAGGCTAAAGTTTGCTCTTCTGATGCCCTCAACAGTGATTCTTTGGCCATATTTGAATTTCACTAAAAATTTTGCTTTTATTGTTTTTTTTTTTAAATCAAAAATTTGACTGGCAAATAAATGCCATTTTGACAGTTCGCGAAAATGAACTTCCTAGCAATTTTGACAAGGCTTATTCAAAATTTATTTATTTACAACATTATCAAGTTTGTAGTTGTATCTTTTGTGGAAATGAGGCGTAAGATTGCTGAGAGGCAGCAGTGATTTTGTGGTGAGTGGCAAAATTTGAAGTAAACCCTATCAGCAAAAATGGGGGACACTTTTGTGACAATCAATAAGGAAAATTATGCTTGGCCTTATCCGAGAACTTTGGTACCCAGGTAAGAATCTAAAGATATAGCTATTATCCCTACATGTACTCACTATTTTTCCTTATTTCCACTAAACTATTCTAATGGACGAGATTTATGATTCTATGTAGAAGTGAAATTAAGCTGGGCGAACAATAGTTCTCCACAAATTTTACAATATTTCTCATCATTTCCATAGTCCTTCTCAACCTCCAATCAAAATCAAACCCGACAATTGCTATGTGGCCAAACTGGTGGAGCCCTATTGTCATTGCGACTACCACTTGTACGAACCGGAAATGGGACGCTACATGAAACTGGCAGAAAAAGAAAAAGCCCTGTATCAGGAATTGGACTCTTTAAAAAAACGCATGGCAGTACTGGTCAGCGACATTTTGGACCATCCTTGTGATACCGACGATGAAAAAATGCAAACTATTTATGAGACCGATTATGTTAAAAGAGGTTCATATTGCATCGAGTCTAAGAGCCATTTTCACAAACAGTGATAACCACAAGACTCTTAAGTCAATCTTTATTTTGCGAACTTGTGGTTAACTTGCAAACTATTAGTTTGATAACCACCAATTGTGAAACTGGGCTTAAGCAGAATTGTTCATTGTTGATAATGTTATTGCAGGTCTTAATTTGGTCCAATATAGAAAACTCATGCCAGCAATCGATTCTCCAGTGGGGGTTCCAATTAAAAGCGAAACCATCGGAACTGGTAGGGGCTACAGGGACCCAACCAGGTTCCGTTACAGCGAAATTCAAAAACCATTCATTGACGTTTGCACTCCTGTATCTTTCACTAGAAGTAGGTACCATGATATGCTTTGTATCAAAATTTGTTGTAAATTAATTTTAGCTCCAACGGTTATGGATGAGTGGTTTGCTCACAGAACTGGCAACACTGAGTACCAAGATTCTTACAGTAAAATGGGCTTGAATATACTCAAGAGTAGTCAACAGTATGCGGAACCTTTGCCTTCATCGAGAAGGAAATTGGATTCAAGATGTGCATAATTTTTTTCAAAAATAAATTGATATTTTCTTGAGCTCATCAAAATAAGTGTGAAAAGCATTTTTACTGGTTTTGTTATCATTCTTAAGGATAAGAGAGTCTAGTCACAGGCATATGAAGAGCCCAAGAAACATCCACCGTTGTCAAATGTATTGTTATAAGTTAGGTTATGTGTAATGCATTACTTCGATTACTCGCAGAGACATGGTGGCCCGGTTGGAATACGATTTAGCGCTTATTACGATACATGTGGCAACGGTGTCTTGAGCTTTTCCTATTCCTACGACTAGACTCCTGGCAGTGGCGGATATACGAGAGACTGTTCAATCAAATATAAACAAACTATATACATATTTTTGGAATCGGGGCATTATGTTCTTCAAGAATATAGAATGAGATATAGGGTATTCCATTTGGAAAAAGTTGGAAAGATTTAAAATTTCACATTTCTGACATTCAAATTTTGTTTCTGACCATGGTTTCTAAAAATTCAGCTAAAACTGTCCAACTTTTGTATTTACACCTTTCTTTTACCTGTGAAGGTAAAGGCTGTAGATAGGGTGTCAATATACAGGGTGAGTTACTAAGTGCGCGGTGGTCCATATCTCCTATACTAACGGAGATCGGAGAAAAAACTAAATCCAAAACTTGTAAATAAACATGAGTACTACATTCCTAAATTATTTTCCAGTATACAGGGTTGCCCAATAACTAATAGTAACACAAAGTTATGTTTTTTAAAATGACTCCCCCTGTATATTATGACATTTCTGGATTCTGCGCAAATTTCATGTATAATGTCATATAGGTACCTATCTTCAACTTTTTCGGAAATATTGACAGTTGAAAATTGACTTTTTTGCATTTTTGACAGACTGTAAAACCTAAACGGTTAATTTTAGAGGAAAACGGATTTTACATTCCTATCTTAGATTTTCATAAACTATCATTTGACGCCAATTTTGAATTTAACCAAAGATTAATAATTTAGGCGGAATTTTTAATCATTGATTAAATTCCTGATTGGTGCCAAATGATAGTTTGTGAAAAACTAAGATAGGAGTGTAAAATCCGTTTTCTTGTAAAATTAACCGTTTAGGTTTTACAGTCTGTCAAGGATGCAAAAAAAAACAGTTATCAACTGTCAATATTTCCGAAACAGTTGAAGATAGGTATATAACATTGTATATGAAATATGTCTAGAATTTTCCGCAGAATCCAGAAATGTCATAATATACAGGGTGTTCCGAAATTAATGCACCAAATTGTTATGGCATATTCTACGTCGAAAATAAGCCCCAGTTACCTATATAAACATATGTCCGGAAACGCTTCCTTTCCGAGATACACGGTGTTGAAATTCTAAGAAAAAAACTATTTTTCTATCATAATTTCCAAACCACTCTAAATATTTCATTGGAATTTTGTCTGCTGCTTTCAAGCAGCAAAGGACATTTTTTGATGTGAAATTATTTTTTTTTAAAATTACCAGTGGCGTCCTACCAGATTTGTAAGGAATATTTTTTAAGAAAAAAATGGTACGTCACTGCTTTTTTCTAAAATAAAAATCATTTTTCAAATCCCCATTCAATTTAGAACATATTTGATCTCTTCACTTTTTTCCGAAAGATGCACTGTTTCAAAGTAAAAAAATAAAAATCCATTTTGATGCATGGGGAAATTGCCAAAATTATGATAAAAATGTTTAACATTAAAGACCTAAAGTTTTAAATTAGTTTTGTGACGTCACTGGTAATTTTTTTATTAAATATTCCACATCAGAAAATGTCTTTGGTTGCAAGAAACCAGTGTACAAAATTTCAAAGTGGTATGAATTATGATAAAAAAATAGTTTTTTTTTTTAGAATTTCAACACCCTGTATCTCGGAAAGGAAGCGTTTCCGGACATATGTTTATATAGGTAACTAGGGCTTATTTTCGACGTAGAATATGCTATAAAGATTTGGTGCATTAATTTCGGAACACCCGGTACAGGGGGAGTCATTTAAAAAAACATAACTTTGTGTCACTACTAGTTATTGGGCCACCCTGTATACTGGAAAATAATTTAGGAATATAGTACTCATGTTTATCTACAAGTTTTGGATTTAGTTTTTTCTCCGATCTCCATTAGTATAGGAGATATGGACCACCGCGCGTTAAGTAACTCACCCTGTATAAAAAAACACCCTGTACAAATAAGTGGATTATTGCGGAACTTATGGGTGGACCTCTGCGGGACGAGCGCAGCGAGTTCCGCAGCCATTTAATCACCAATATACTATTGAATTGTTCAAGTAAGACATTCAGCTGAAAGGTGTAATTTTTAAACTAATGAGAATAACGCATATTTGAGTGAGTCAGTTTAATACTGTAATTAAACAACATATTAATGAATAAATAGCTGCGGCACTCGCTGCGCTCGTCCCGCAGAGGTCCACCCATAAGTTCCACAACAATCCACTCGTTTGTACTTGAATGATTTGTCACAATATACTACTAGTTTGGTAAAGTAACATTACTAATTCTTGTTGAAAGGCGAATTAACAAAAAGTGAATAATCTTAAAAATTCTGACTTCATATAATAAGTTATTTTTTAAGTAAGTAAGTAAGTAAGTAAATTGTTGCGGAACTTATGGTTGGACCTCTGCTATACTATTGAACTGTTCAAGTGAGACATTCACCTGAAACGTGTACTTTTTAAACTAATGAGAATAACTTACATTTAAGTGAGTCAGTTTAGTATCGTGATTAAACAACATATTGATAAATAGATGGCTGCGGAACTCGCTGCGTTCGTCCCGCAGAGGTCCACCCATAAGTTCCGCAACAATTCACTCATTTGTACTTGAATAACTTGTGGCATTATGTTACTAGTTTGGTGAAGTAACATTACTAATTCTTGTTGAAAGGCAAATTGACAAAAAGTGAATAATCATAATGTTACAAAATTTAACTTTTTATAATAAGTTATGGTTCAAGTACAAATAAGTGGATTATTGCCGAACTCATGGGTGGGCCTCTGTGGGACGAGCGCAGCGAGTTTCGCAACCATCTACTCACAAATATACTGTTGAACTATTCAAATAAGACACTCACCTGAAACTTGTAGTTTTTGAACTAATGAGAATAACTGACATTTGAGTGAGTCCAGGCCTATTTTACCAAAAGGCACATAAGACCCGGGCCTTGTGCCCGGTGTAAAGTGGGGCCCAAAGAAAGGCTTGAAAGGAAAAAAAATTAACATTTCAATTTATAAATAAACACCAAAAAAAAAAACGAATATTCCGGTATCTGATTCAGAAAATTAAATGAAATTAGACTTTTAGGCTGGCTTCATACCTACAGCCAGAATGTCTTTTCATAATCTGAATTTATAACGTACAGAATTGTATACAGGGTGTCCCCGTTTTTTTGGGGTGGTTCCAGGTAAAAAATAAGGATGCATTATGCGAATTTTACATAGATAATCTCTGAAAATTTGAATAGCCTGGTGTTAAGCCCTTCAGATGATATGAAAGAGGGTTGCTTAAATTTCAACAGCCTGTATTTTGGAAATGACGGACTTCCGACCATCGGAGTCCTATCTCAAACTACTTCTCTATGGTTCCTCTTTTGTCCCCTCAATTGAACGGGGACCCCCTGTATATTTTTACTATACAGCACACGCAGCACACACATTTTGACTTTTTCAGATTATGAATATTTCATATCGATCTGCCAGAGTGACTCTGGCGAGCGTTTTGAATGCCGGATCTGAAAAATTGAGATAATTCAAAATGCATGTTTTTCCATAGGTTTCAAATATACAAGCTCACACAGCCGGAATTCAGATTCTGTTTCTTCCTTTCCGCAATCAACTCTGTTCAAAAAATTCCGCAAACTAAGGGAGAATACTGCACGCGGAGTTTTTAAGATATTTGTGGGGCAATTTGCCAGAATTCAGATCCTGAATTCTGTTTCTGGATTCTGAAAGACATTCCGGTTGTGTGAAGCCGGCCTAAAATTATACAATTGATTTTCGTTAAAAAAACAGAAGATGACATCCCCTCTCCCTCCCCCCCCCCCCCCCCCCCCAATGTCCGCAACCCATGAGGAGCCGCCGGTATACCTATTGTCATCATAGGATATTGGGGGCCCAACTGAATCAAAAATAGGCCCTGAGTGAGTCAGGTTAATATCGTACTTGAACAACGTATTAATGAATAGATGACAAAGGTCCACCCATAAATTCCGCAACAATCCACTCGTTTGTACTTGAATAACTTGTCACATTATGTTACTAGTTTGGTGAAGTACCTACCTAGTAATTCCTGTTGAAAGGCAAATTGAAAAAAAGTGAATAATCTTACAAATTCTGACTTTATAATAATAAGTATGTACAGAATGTTTTTTTATGTATTGACACCCCACCTACAGCCTTTAAAGTACCTCAAATTTTCCCTGTAGCTTTCACCTGTATAGGTAGAATGATTCACAAAATCAGTACCTACACAAAATCAGTAATAGGCAATGTAAAAAAATAGTATTTTTACAATTTTTGGAGCCGAATATATGAGAGACTGTTCAATCAAATATAGACAAACTATATATTTTTGGAATCGAGGAATTGTGCTCTTCAAGAATATAGAATAAAATATAGAGCATCCCATTTGAAAAAAGCTGGAAGCATGCAAAATTTCACATTTCTGACATTCAAATTTTGTTCTGACCATGGTTTCTAAAAATTCAGCCAAAACTGTACAACTTTTGTATTTATCCCTTTTTTTTTACCTCTAAAGGTAAAGGCTTTAGGTGGGGTGTCAATATATAAAAAAACACTCTGTACCCAGAGCTGTCAGAAAAAAGTATCTTAGTTATTTTATAGTATCTAAGATACTGTATCTTAAATACTTTTTATTTTTTAGCAAAAGTATCTAGTATTTTAGTTACTTTTTAAAAGGAGCTGTAACTTGTATCTTGAAAAAGTATCTTGGATACCGAAAAGTATCTTATAGATACCAAAACAAAAAGTATCTCAGATATTTAGTTAAAAGCATCTTATAGATACTGAAAACTCTCTTAGATACTGAGAAAAGTAGGTATCTAAGTTAACAAAAAGTATTAAAATTGCAGTAAAAAAAGTTCCTTGAGGCGTTTACCCAAACCCGACCCAACAAGATACTTAAGACTAGTTCAAATAGTAGGTAATAGGTAAATGGTAGGTCTGTTCTGTTCTCAAGAGTTTCTAATAATTTGTAAACTGTCAGTAAGCATCGCCCATATGCCCATGTACAGGGTGGTCATTTTATCTTGCTAACATTTTAAACTGTCATAATTTCTTTATTTTTAAAGTTATTTAAATGAAAAAACATACTGTAGGGTTGGTTTCCAAGTTTTAGATAGGGTAGACAAAAAACAAAAGACTGATATATTCTGACAGTTATGCACATAAATAGCATTTTTTTGAATGGAATACTCAGTAAGTTTTCAAATTCTTTGATAATATGTTTCAATCTGATTGCAATACATACAATACAATACACTTTTATACAATTTACTCTATATTTACATGCAGAAGTGTTTTATTGATTCTAATGGAAAAGTCATTGGAAAATTCTGTCGACTTACCTACCTTTGCAGGTAATCTGTGTCAATATTTGCAGTTAGAATAAATGAAACAAACAAACTTGAAATTTACTGGGTGTTCCATTTAAAAAAATGGTTTTTGTGTGCAAAACTGTCAAAATATACCAGGTGTCCCACTAAGGTCGGCCAGGTACGATATTATGGAAACCATAGACCTTACGGCTTCGGGATTTTTTTTTTCTTCACTAAATCGGCCAAGAGAAATTGATGGAAATTATTTTCAAGTTTCTGGGATGACCGCTAGGGGGCGCAATTACGATGATATAGCTAAAAATTCAACTTTTCTCAAGAAATCGCTATATTAAGATACTGTTTTAACAACAGAAATCAAAAGTTCATTAATTTTTGCGCCAGTTTGGTTATTAGGCTTTTTTCGTATCTTCAGTAATAAGGGTGGGGGATGCTGGTGATTTTTTTTTTATAAATTGCTGTATCTTCCATGCCCCTCATTCAAACTCATTCAATTTGGGTTTATTTGGAAGAGAATTTCATTGTTATTAAGAACACCACATCGTTCGAGGTCGATAGTTCCCACCGCGTCTTCTAGAGAGCGCTGTTTATTCAAGATCCAGTTTTTTCTAATTTTCATGAAAAATCCAAATGGCATAATATTATTTTTCTACTACCGTGCGTAAAGTACTCACTTTACGCACTATTTAGAAGACGTAAAATTTCACTTCACGCATTAGTGCGTAAAGTAATTCACTTCACACACTAGTGCGTAAAGAGCGGTCACTGACAGATTTTGACACTGTCAATTTAATATTTTTCTGGTAAATTACTTCACACACTAGTGCGTAAAGTGAAAATACTTTACGCACTAGTGCCTAAAGTATTTATCTAAGTTTATTTTTTTTACACATATTTGATTGGTAGTAGAAAAAAATTTGTATGCAATACGTGCGTAAAGCTTCACTTCACTTTACACACTTGTTGCATAAATAACTATACGTAAGGTCTATGGTCTCCATAATATGGTACCTGGCCGACCTTAGTGAGACACCCTGTATTAGTCTTTTGTTTTTTGTCCATCCTATCCAAAACTTGGAAAACAACCATACAGTATATTTTTTTATTTATTTAATTAACTTTAAAAATAAAGAAATTATGACAGTTTAAAATGTTATCAACATAAAATGACCACCCTGTACATGTTTTCAATGCCGTCATTTACTGTATATATACTTTTATACCTCAAGTTACAGCGAACGTGTTGCTCTAGAGCTCCTCGGAGTCACTCCAAAACACAAAATTCAGATATTACAATATTTTTTTAATATTAACATTACCAAGGGCTTCTTGCAACCCATCACTTTTCTTATGCAAAATGGCTTTCGGCCAATTTTTTTTTAAATTTAGTATGTTGTAGTCCTTGATGTTCTGAACAAATGTCTCCAAAGGCTCGAATCGATTCTATGTCCAGTTTCCGAGATATCAATGCTCAAAGTTGGACAAAGGGGAATTTTAATAATTTTCCTATAATCTTCACAATAGCCTATTATAAATAAAACCCCTTCTTTTTTGATAAAATTATTATATGAGAATTTTGTTTACAGTTTGGTATTTTAAATATGAAATTCATTTTTTATACACGGCGAACTAAAAGTGTTATATAGAGGTTTATTTTATTACATTTCAAAAGTATGCAAAATTATCGCCCATCATTTTAAACCGATGTTTTGTATCTTGAAAACAAACGGCCAGATTATTACAAAATTGTGATATTTTTTATGTATTGATAGCCAAAGAAAAATGACAAAGTTTTGTGAAAATCTGGCCGTTTGTTTTCAAGATACAGAACATCGGTCCAAAATGGTATTGGATAATTTTGCATTCTTCTGAATTGTAATAAAATAAACCTCTATATAAGTATTTTGGTTCACCGTGTATAAAAAATGAATTACACATTTGAAAGATCATACTATAAGCGAAATTCTCATATAATATGTCTATTAGAAAAGTAAGGATTTAATTATTACAGGCTATTGTTAAGATTATAGGAATTTTTTTTTAAATTCCCCTTTGTCCAACTTTGAGCACCGATATCTCGGAAACTGAACATAGGATCGAATTGGGCCCATGGAGACATTTGTTCAGAACCTCAGGGACTACAACATACTAAATTTTTTAAAAAATTGGCCGAAAGCCATTTTGCATAAGAAAAGTGAGGGGGCCTTTAGTGCATCAGGGGAAAGGGGGATGCACTATGAGCGACTCGAGTGCTTAACGCACTTTTAAAAGGAACGTTCAAGCTTTTGACATTGAGCAGCTATCGTCCCGACTCACCCGTAAAAAGGCAATGGGATATTCGGGACGATAGGTTGCGACTAGAGGATGTGAATCCCCCACCTGATAGATTGTTTCTGACAGAGGTTGCAAACTGTCAGAGACTCCTGTGAGAACCAATGCCTTACGGGATATCTGCGAGTTGGCTCTGTTCCAATGGACACGAGAACCGTTCTGAAACGGTAATTTCCAGTGGATCAATTCATTTGTCAAGTATGATTAACGTTCAACTTATGAAAAATGGGTTGGCAACTGGAAATTACTGGTTCTGGAACGGTTCCATTGTCGGTTGGAACAGAGCATATATTAAGATATGTTTGGCCAGTAAATTTGAAGTACTATGTACAAGAAAAGTCATGATATCCCGATTCCTGTTTATAAGAAAAATATTGTCGACAATGGTTTTTTCGCATTTGAAGAAAACAGTGTTCATGTGGAGCAATCCACCGATATAAGAAGCTGTATTGGTTTGCAAATCCTACAATAAACTCGAGAAGAATTGAACCTTCTCGAATTTGGGATTTTCAAACTATGAAAAATCTTGTTTTTGAACTTGTGGACCAAAAACAGCAATAGCTTAAACGGTTTTTCCGCCTGCTATTCGGAAATAATAATAAAATATCTTAATAAGTATCTTATTAAATATCTTGAAAAGTAACTTAAGATACGTATTTAACATCCTTTTTTTAATAAGTAACTCAATACCCAAAGTAACTTCAGATACTTTTTATAAAAGTAACTTATCTTGTAACTAGATACTTTTCAAAAGTATCTTTGACAGCTCCGGTACCTACCTATTTAAAAACACCTTATTCACCTAAATAGTTCCTCCATTCCCATATTTTTATGGGTCATTCCTTCGAAAAACCTTATATTATACAATGCGCTGCCAAAACTAACCCAAACTAATCCAATCTGGCATAATTTAACTTAAACTGCCCTTCCCCCCCACCCCCTTTTCAAAAGGCCTGTATCCGCCCCTGACTCCTGGGTCCTTATTCTTGAACCTGGAGAGCAGCGTTCCGTCTTTCTCAATGATATACAAATGATAATATAAGTAACAAAGATGGAACACTCGTTCTTCCGGGAACGCTACTCCCCTAAGTCCGCTGTTCCAAGATTGAGGCCCCTGTAGTAAGGATGAGATTATTATTTGCTGTGGTATTTTTTTACAGGAAAATGCGTATTTCAAAATTGAAAAAAGCACAAAGCGAGTACAAAATAAACATTTTACAGGCCATGCTTGGTGAAATAAATATTTATTAGCCTCTATATAGGGGTTTTAAATGGCAAGTCAATTTTGGACTTATTTTTACTGCTTAAACATAAATTATAGATGTTCCTTAGTCAGACTTCTTCATTCTCAATCTCTTGCTGGACTTTTCATTCGATTTGAGCCAGTCTTCGAGTTCGGGAGGAGGAGTGGGCCTGTAAGAAACATCTTTACCGTTCAACTTGCTCATTATTTTCGGTACGTCCAATCCAATGGTACTTTGTTTGCTCAGTACCACCGCACTAATAAAATTATCAGCTAAAGTGATGAACTGATGTTCGATGAATAGCGTTTTCTCGTCCCAGAAAACGATCTGAAATTGAAAGAATTAATTTGATTAAGTAATTCAATTATACAGGGTGACTCAGAGTATGTTATATACAATATACAACTCACTGACCTTTGTGGTAATTTTGTAAGACCTCATCAAAGGTATAGTCCGTCTATATCGGATATTGGAAGCGGTTTGAAGCACGTGTCCTTTAGCTTTAACAATTTCCGCGTAGATGCCGGTTTTGTCGTAGAAATGGAAACGGGCAAAATCCAAATCTCTGACGAAACGCGCATTGTTCATGTGTTTGAAAAAAATGTCGACGTCTTGCGTTGTACAAATGCCTAAAAAGAAAACCAGCTCGATATTATCACTCATAAGGATTTTTCTGGAATGTGGTACTAATCATTAAGTCATCGAATAACATGTGTCAAAGAATTATGGCCTACTATAATACTATGAATGGTACTAATGCTTACCATAAATCTCGGTTTGTTCATCAACATTTTTAGTTTTATCAAATACTCGCCCCCACAGAATGGTAGCAGCAATCCTTATGAAGTAATTCACATCGAAAAACACGTAAAAAAGCAACAAAATAGTTACAAAAACGGCGTACAACATTAAAAAAATTTCCATCGTTGATTTTGAAGTGGTACCCGGATGGAAAATGAGTACGAATACAAGTGACCTGGTGGACGTTCCTAACGGTAGTACCGGCGACGCTATAAGAGGGGGGTAAAAAAGGTGAATCGTTTACATCGGTTCACGGTCAATGGTACCTACTGCATTATTCGAAATTTAATTATTAATTAATTAAATCATTGTTTGGATTATTTATACGTATAGGTTTGTTCCAGCAAAAAGTTGGAAACATGTTGGTGACATTAACCTAACAGTTAAATTTGTTGTTGTTGTTTTGGCGTTAAATTGGTTTACAGCTTATAGTCTAGACTTTGAAGAATTGCAATTATATGTTAAATAACATTATTAATTAAAACTTGTTATCATCAACACCCAACCGTTATTTTTAGCGTATATAAACCAAATCAAAATAACGTTTATATTGTATTTACTTTTTCTTATCTATCAGGTATGGCTTTGCAGTGAAAAGATAAGAAAAACAAAACAAAAAATTATTAAATTTCGAGTATGTTTATGTTTAGGTATAGAGATGAGTAAAATAATCGATAAAAAGGAATATCTTCATTAATATAATTCCGAAATTACCAAAATCCCGAAAAAACTTCCAAGATTGGACCTTATTAAATCCTAAATTCCCAAATTAAGGGCAACATTGTAACAAAGTAACGTTGAAAAGAATCTAAAATATTTGAGAATATTCAAATATAGTTTTAAATTTTCTGAGGAAAATTCTCAGGAAAATTCAACTGTTTTATACAAGACAGTAATGACAATTGAGGGACTAATTTATTTGCCACCATCTTGTTGCACAATCGTTTCTTGTTTACATTCATTCTTATGAGGGTATTGTGTATCTTTTGTGATTTTCTAATTAATCAATTGGATTCTGAATTATTATGAGTGCTTTGTATATTGAACATTACTTAACTAGTGCGATTTTTCCAGTTCCTCACTGAATTATATTTAAGTACAGGGTGTTAAGTTATAAAGTACCACCCCTGTAACTTTTTTATTTTTGATTATGCATAAAAAAATTACAAGTGGTGGTATTTTATAACTTGACACCTAGTACAGAGGCTGGGTTCGTTTATTAAATCTGCGAGCAAAATTTGACAAATATCACGTGATTTAACACGTCAAAAAAGATAAGTGGTCACCTGACGTCCGTCAAAAATTGCTTTTTTTGTTCGCAGATGTAATAAACGAACCCAACCAGGATTAATGGTTATAAATGTCCCCCTCTCTATCTTTTTTATTTGACATTTTAGAAAAAAGTGTCCCAAATAAAAGTTCTATAGTTGCAATTAATTTTTTTGAAAAATTGCCTTTCGCATATACAGAATTTTTCACAACTCTCTTATTTTGAATGGAATACCCTGTATATTATTGAATATTCGGATTCTACGTATAAAGTCTGTTTTTTTTAAAGATAATTTCCCAAGTCAAAAATTTAGTAACTATGTTGGCAACACAAGTCTTTTCTACATAAAAAATTTGGAAGAATTGACAATTATTTTACATTGTACTGCCAACATAATGCCATTTTGACTTTTATCTTTTGAAAAAAAAACAGACTTTACCTATGTTCAACTGTATTGACAGTTGAAAATTGACTTTTTTGCAACTTTAACAAGGTGTAAAACCTAAACGGTTAATTTTACAGCAAAACCGATTTTACATTCTTAACCTTGATTTTCATAAACTATTTGACACCAACTCTGAATTTAACAAGAGATTAAATTTACCCAGAATTTTTAATCACGAAGTAAATTCAAAATTGGTTATGAAAATCTAAGACAAGAATGTAAGATCGGTTTTCCTCCAAAATTAACCGTTTAAGATTTACAGCCTGTCAAAGTTGCAAAAAAGTCAATTTTCAACTGTCAATATTTCCAAAATAGTTGAATCTAGGTATGGGGTATATCCCATAAAATCTGCTTAGAATTTACGTAGAATCCAAATATGCAATCACATACAGGGTGTCTCATTTAAAATAAACAAGTGTACGTCTACTTCCGGTATAACCGGACCAGAGAGCCACCATCTTGAAAATATTTTAGCCGAGTTGCCCCCATTACTATTCGAGTATTGTCAAATTTTCAAAAATTTTCTGCAAACAGTTTTTCACATATATGTAGATCGATTTGGTTCTCGGTGGGACACCCTGTATACGGATTCTGGACATTTTTTTTTTCTCCAAATTTCTCTTTACTTGTAAAAGCCATTATTTATATTGGAAATTCATTATCGGCTTAGCAACACTGTTTTTACATTCGCCTGGAAATAAAATCTGGCAACATGGCAATGGTGGAAATGAAACGAATCCCATTTTTAGTCAAAATAAGAGAGAAAACAGTAATTTGACAACGTGGCTTCTTAAATATTTTTTGGGGAATGTTATTAATTTTTTTTTAAGCGCTGTTGCCCGATTTTATAAATTTTCTGTGTTTTTCTTTCAGATTCAATTTTGATTGAAAATTCAAGACCTTGGAATGAACGAAAGTTGAAAGGAAAAAATTGAGGGAAAATTCTTGAATCTTCCTTGAACTGTTTAATATTTAATTAACTTTCATTCAAGCTCAATTACGTTAAGGTCGGATTGAAATTAAGAAAAGTTAGGAGGCAAAATGTGTAGCAAAGTCATTTTGGAAAAATCAAATTTCAATAATTAATGTTACTGCAACTTGATATGTCAAATGTCATGCTACCGAGAATTTGAAGTTTGGCAACACTGAAACTCAATATATTACATATCCTAGTAGGCCATTAAAAAATTTAATAATTTTCTTGCAGTTGGTATTACTGAACACTTAACAGTGTTAATATTTTGGTACATACTAAAATTTTTCAGTTGGCAATACTGAAACTCAATAAACTACATATCTTAATAGTTCATGTAAATAACTTTATTTCTGTTGGCAACACTGAAGTTTGACGTGCCTTGGTTACTTGGAACAGTTGGCAATACTGAAACCCAATACGTTATCTCTAGCAGGCCATGTATAATCTAAATAAATTTCTTGATGTTGGCGACTCTAAAGTTTGACGTTTTAAATATGTTGGTATTAAAATTTTATTTTACTTTCTTTCTCATAACCTCAAATTCGCTAAGTTTGGTTAATTAGGCATTCCAACGACCTGTCAAAACTATTCCAAAATGGCGACTGTGGCGGAAGTTCCTTATTCCGTATATGACAGTACAGAATTTAATGCTTTTTAAAGTGCATTGTGTGGTTGTTTTGTGACTAAATCGTATTTATTTTTTTATTTTATTGACTTTATAAGGGTTTAATTAAAAAAAATCTAATTAAAAATGCCACAAAGGTGTCTTGTAGTTGATTTTAGAAGGCGTTTCAACAAGGATGATGTCAGGTTGTTTTCAGTATTCAACCTTTCAAATTTTTCCAATTAAAACGTAGAAATTATTCAGTACCACTGTTACTGCATCTAAAATAAAGCCATATGCGAAATACTTGTAAGAATCTAAGCTTTTGTAGGCCTTCAATTGCTCATTGCTGTAAAAACTAGGTCAAAATGTAAACAAATGTCAAACAGACTTATTGTTTGCCCACATCCCGATTTTCCTGCATTTAAGTCTTTAAATATTCACTCTTCATCTCGAAATAGTATATCATAACAAATTAAACTGTAATTAGCTTGAAAATATTCCAAGTTAACTCAAGATAAACAAAAAAACGTCAAATTTGCCACAGTCGCCATATTGAAAAATCACGTGGTTTGGAGAGCCTAATTGTAAAGTGCGTTTTTTTTTTTAAAGATAAAAGTCAAAATGACATTATGTTGGCAATACAATGTAAAATTGTCAATGCTTTCAAATTTTTTATGTAGAAAAAGCTTGTGTTGCCAACATAGTTACTAAATTTTTGACTTGGGGAATTATCTTTAAAAACAAACAGATTTTATAAATTGAGGATTACCTGGGAATATTCGCTTTTTTTTTCTTAGTTTTTAGTTGAAAACGATCCATTTTTAAAAAAGATGTAATTCATGCTCCTAACCTTAAATACATTGATATTTCCATAATTCGCCATTAGAGTCACTGAGATGAAAAGAGAAAGATTTTTTTGTAGTTGGCGACTCTGAAGTTTAACTTGTCAAATATTTTGGTGTTAAAATTTTACAGTTGCCAACACCGGAACTCAATAAATTTCATATCTTATGGTTGTTTGCACCTTGACTCTTGAGGAAGCCTCAGTGATTAGTATTCCAAGTGACATTTCTCCATGTAAAAATGTCATTTTAAGAAATACTTATCGCTAAGGCGTCCTTAAAATGATCTGGTACAAATGGCCATTAGTAGGCCATGTAAGTAAGCTTCTATTGGTGCCATTGAAGATTGACGTATCGAATATCTTATTACTTAAATTTCAAGTTGGCAACACTGAAATCAAAAAGTTACCTCTAGTAGGTTATGTAAAATCCCACATTCCAAGAATAATTCGTCTTATCACAATATTAGTAAATAAGTTATGCAAATCAAAATGTCCTAAATTCAAATAATTTGACCTAAAGACATTGTTTCATTAATCAATTTCCTTTAAACGCCATATTACAGCTATACTACAAATATTTAAATTTGTAACAACATGGCGGGTGGGCGGATTCACTAGAGAATAGAAAGTACCTGCTAGGTAACAACCAGGCACTTACCAGTTGATCCATAATTTGGCCCTAAGAAGTTTATAGAGTCACTGTACTAAAACCTATTTTGTTCTCCACTATGTTATACAAAAATAAAGGATAAAGTATAATCGGTAAACTCTTGCTACCTAGTACAATGATCCTAAAATATTTGGGCATTTCTAATGTGGCAACAAGCGCATGAATATCGGCTTTAGCCAATGAGAGACCGTTTTCAGTCACGTGATTTTTTGTTTAAATTTGCTATTTTCAGTTAATAAGTACAGGGTTATTGGTTATAAATGTCACCCCCTCTATCTTTTTTATAAGATTTTCACAAGTTATCATTTAACACCAACTTTGAATTTAACCGAAGATTAAATTTAATTGGAATTTTCAATCAGGCATTAAATTCAAAGTTGATGTCGAATATTGGTGTCAACTGATAGTTTATAAAAATCTAAGATAAAAATGTAAGACAGAC